ATTAGAGAAACAACAATATACACCATTTTTAATACGAAACATAATGACTGTCGTTGCAAAAATCAAGGTTCCTGAGCTATTTTAAAAATCGAAGCTAGCGGCTTTTAACATTGCAGTATAAAATACAGGCTGAAATGGCTGAAACGTCAAATTTGCAAACTTCGTGTTGAAAATTGGCTAACAAGGTCATTACAAAAACAGCCGGTTGCGGGGATGAAACTTGAAACTTGAATGTCCAAAGAATTTGCAAGTCCTAACCTTGTATGTGTAGTCGTTGAACTCTAGGTTCCCACGTAAAGTTAAAATGCCCCTATTTCAAGAACAATAAACTCACGAAAACTCGAAAAATTCACTAAATTCGCGTTCATTGTTATGATTTTGACCGCCTGACAACTTTACGGAAATATCAGAGTGATTATAAACAAGAACTCTGTGACGGGCAACTTATAATATCCGTGTTTTAAAGATTTTAATGATATCAAGCCAGTCCAGTTCAAACTATTATCACGTGGTACAATTCTCATTTACATATAATGAATATTGATTAGCAAAAGTACTACTAATGCCTGGCTATGGGTGAAGGTTTGGCGTCAGCAGTTTAACCCCGCCACATTCTGAATGTGCCTGCCTGTAATTCAGTGGTTGCCGTTTGTTGCTGTATCTCGCATTTGTTTTGTTAATTGTTTTGTTCATAAATCAGGTCTGTAGTTTTCTCGTTTGAATTGTAAATACATTTGTCCTTTCATGGCATTTTTTAGCTTACAGTGCGGTATGGGTTTTGCTCATTGTTGAAGACCTACATGACCTATAGTTGTTAACTTCTACGTCATTTGGTCTCTGGTCGAGAGCTGTCTCGCTGGCAATCATAGCACATCTTATTTTAATATGACCGTGTGTAATTCGAAATATAAGTATTGACAGTAAGTGTTAATAACTGTATAGCAATTCAGTATTTAGTGAGTATTTAATTTATTGATAAAAAAAAAAAAATCAAGGTCAGTTACTATATTCTATTGATTATTTGATTGTTGGTTGATTAACTTCCAGTGGAAAATAGTTCATGTATTTTCAGGACGAGAACAAATTAACAATAAATACAGTAGGTAGGTCCTGAAATAGAGGCCGTCCGGGAAAATTAGGGTATATTGGATAGGGACAGAAATTTTGTCTATCAGCATGCTACCTACGGACCCTCAACGATTTTTTGCAAGGGTTCTTAACGTACGAAGAGGGTGGCATGCACTCTCTGTAACACTAGGCATCGGACTTAAGACCTAATAGTCCATATTTTTTGTCAAGCTCTCAAGCTTCAAGTATTCTTTGCCTGCTAAATGAAAATAAAAAGTATGAAATTTACCAATTGAGAATTTACATTGAAATGTTATGATTACACGATATCAAGAGGTATTTACACAGTTTGATATAGCCCAAGCAGTATAGGGCTATCTTACTGTGGATTATATCGCTCCCCCGCGGTTAGTCTTTGAACTAATCGAATTGATGTAAGACAAAAAATCTTAACTTTAATTCAATTTGGTTTAGTTTGGGAAAGTCCTTCAAATTTAAAACCCCAATAAGAACGAGAATTATGTTTACAGCTTCTTCTAGATCTGTACTATTGTATAAGAAGAAGAATTTGTACTTCCAAATGACGAAATTTAACATGACAACAGCGTAAATAATTCATGAATTATAAAAAAGTCAAATTTAGAAGTCATAAGTTTAAACGTAGATACATGTATATATGTGTAGTAAGAGGAATAACTCAATTAGAAATTTACAAAGTGATTTTTAGTTTAATTGGTTAATTTATTTGTTTGCTAAGACCTATTCCAGGTGTTTGTACTATGTTTGTTAATATTCGAATCCTGTAGTATTTCTATAGACTTTGCAAGGACAATCAATCGTTTTATATAAGTCTAGTATTATATAGTTGTTTTCTTGATATACTACTAATTTTCAAAATATAGATTTGATTAAAGTATCTGTCTCTGAGGTTACCATTCGCACCTCTTGACATGCTGAGAAGAAACAAAAAAGAAAAAAGTCCTGAGATTTCGATTTGACTGGAGAATTAAAGTTCATCACCAAAAAAAACTACCGCTTCAAACCTATAGCTGTTAAAAAAAATCATACTATTGTTACTGTTTTTACTGATACTCAGCGTCTTGAATTAAATTGAACTTCGAACTACAATGTATGATGTTTTATATAGTTTTCCAAAATTTTTGTTGATGAAAATAACATGTTCTCTCTCTCACTTTTGGTTATCACATCACATGCTTTGGCAGTTTCAAAGGGCACACGTCCCTCACACCATCTATTAGACCCCCTCTATTGTTTACATTGAAAAGTAAAATGATGTCTCCGGATTAAATGTTTAAACAATGGTGTTGAGTAGCAGATTAAGGGAAAATGAATACCGGTTGTCTCCCTTTCATCTTGATAAACTTTATTTTAACAGTATACATTAATATTTAGATATATTACCCTATAGTTATAGTCTATAGAAACTCGTTCTTTGTCTCTGATGGATAGTTTGGTCATTGGTCATCTTTAATTTTTTTTTACAGTTTTGATTGGTTGATATTTGTTTGCCTATCGTAAATGTAGCAGTCCTGTCTGAACTTGGTAGATATCCTCTTTATATAATTTTGCTAACACATATGTTTATGTATTGGCATAGACTAGAAAATTCCCCATCTGATTTATTGAAAAGTGCTTATATATATGCTGAGTTAAAAATGATTGAGAGTAAAGCTCAAACTAGCTCCAATAACTCATGGCTCTCTAATATCATTTTCTACAGCGAAAAATTGGGTATTGACCTAAATATATGTAAAAATTAAGGCAAAAATAAATTAAAAAATTTACTAAAAAAACAGCTCAAATTAAATTTTCAAAATGATTGGGAGAAAATGCGAGATTTTTATATACAGAATCAAGGCAAATTGGACACTTAATTTTCATTCAAGAGGTCATTTGACTATGAAAATTATTTAGATTTAAAGCACCCCCAAAAACATTTGTTAACAAAATACAGACTCAGCAATCACTATTTAAGAATAGAAACTGGCAGACATGAACGATTTATCAATGTATGTGGTAAATATAAAATATTACCTCGACATGAGAGGATATGTTTATATTGTAATTCAAATTCTATTGAAAATGAAATGCACTTTCTTCTGGAATGCCCTCTTTACAATAACCTCAGAAGAGATATGACTGATTATATCAAAAAAATACCCCAGTTTAGTTAATTTAAACAGAAATGATCTTTTTACATGGATCATGAGTAATGAAGATAGCAGTTTTTTTTATATATTTTATGTGCATACCTTGATGAAGGCCTGCAACTTAGAAAATCAGAAAATTAGTTAATACTCTAATAGATAGCAAAATTATCTCCCCTTGACCACTGACCCTTTCCTCGTGCATTTGAACTATTATTTTATGTTTCTTCAATCACTCTGTAATGTTTATGTCATGTTGATATTAATGTTATGCTCTTAATGGGCCCTTTAATTTGGAAATAAAAGTATTGTATTGTATCGTTCAATGGCTCCACGGTTAAGGAAACAACAACCAATCATTTCAAACTTTAAAACAGTTGATGTCGATGTCACTCTTGTAGTAATTGATGCTAAAAGCTAGGCGATTAATTTAAAGACTTTAGTAAGACTTAAGAGAGTAGCGGTTTTTTTTTTGTGGAAATGGAAATGTGAAAGAAATTTCCTGAGAAAGTCTTTTGTTTTAGTTTTCATTGTTGTTTTATGTGCGATTTATTAATCAATAAGAATTCAATTTTAAGTAGTTTGTTATTTCTCTGAAATTTGTCGTATGCCTAAATATAAAATATGAACCGAATAGATAAAATAATTTCCAAACACTCTAGAAATATTGACAAAAATAATATTCTTCTTAGATAATTCCATTGATTTTAAATATGGTCAGAACTTAAACGACACACTGCTTGTTGCAAAACATAGATTTACCAATGGAATGCTCCCCAATTTGTTTTTGAGTTTACACAGCACTTTGTGTAAATTATTTTTATGGTAAAATATGCAAATAAGGATAATTTATTACGTTACAACTACGCCATTATTGACAAATTTGCAATAGTAATATAGCGACCATGTCCTAGGTTTCATATTTTTCATGTCGGGGCCTTTTATAGCCGACTAGTATACGGTATGTGTTTTTCTCATTGTTGAAAGCCGTACGGTTGTGTAGACGAAACGCGCGTCTGGCGCAGATACAAAATTTTAATCCTGGTATCTATGATGAGTTTATTTACAACCACTGGGTCGATGCCACTGCTGGTGGAGTTTTTATTCCTCGGGGTATCACCAGCCGCCCAGTAGTCAGCACTTCTGTGTTGACATAAATTATTATTGATATGGTCATAATAATAAATTAAGTTTACAAAACTTTGAATTTTTGAAATACTAAGGCTTATCTACCTCAGGAATAGATTACCTTAGCTATATTTAGCAAAACTTTTAGGATTTTTTGGTCCTCAATGCTCTTCAACTTCGTACTTTATTTAGCCTTATTAACTTTTTTTTATTTAAACGTCACTGATAAGTCTTTTGTAGACGAAACGCGCGTCTGGCGCAAATACAAAATTCCAATACTGGTATCTATGATGAGTTTATCTATAATTGCTTATATCCACTTCACTTCAACTCTAGTGGATAATTGTCTCATGGGCAATCATTCCACATCTCCCTTTTTCGTATTATTTTTTCTTTTATATTGGGCATATTAACATTTTGTTTGTCTTTACGTTTGTTCCCTTTGGCCATATTGTTGTACAATGCAGACGAATGGATACTTTATAGTATGAATGAATAGTTGCTGTTAAATGTTAAATTCAAATAAATATTTTTCTTGGAAACACAGGGATGCAGTTTGAAAGATAAACCATTTGAAATGAAGCTAAAATAATGTGTCGACGAACAATTTATAAATTGAATACAAGAACATGCGGTTCAACTTTTATTTATTTAGCACTATAAACCTATCTTGAAAGACAAATCAAATATCAAGTTTCAAAATTATGAACACTCATATAGTCTTATTGCACTATAATTGAATAACCAACAAATCTTTGACAGTCTAGCTCAATATACTGGACACCGACCATATCGTTGACTTTTTCGATGGCTCCATACATTTATCTTGCGTTACAGTATCAGGTTTAGTTTTTGAATTATCTCCCTTTGAATCTGTAGCTATGACTGATTCGTTTTTTATCAGAGGTTGATGTATTTTCATTAACTCATCTCTTTCTTGAAGGTAGCTTGATAAATTAAGCTGTGGTGTTGGTAGACATGTTGTACCTGAAAAGGGAATACAATGGTGTAATCATACAATCAAAACAGAAACAAATAACTAAATTAACGCAGCTCATTAAATAAAAACCGTTCAGACATTGTATTTTGAATAGTTTTATTACGTATTTCCCTCTAGAGCTTTTTCTTGGATTTTACATGGGGACACAAAGATTTGTGGAATGCATCATTGGGACAGCGACCAAACAATACACAAACAAAAACTACAAAAACTTCAAATAACATATATTTCTTAACAGTATTTACGATTTTTCAGCTTTCATTTACAATGTCCCGTAATGATTATATTTTTACATTATTACTACACGTAAAAGCTCAAAACCGGATATAAATAATTATCAGGATTAATCGAAGATTTAATACCAACCTGTCCTCGATTGTAGGTTATCGTCTGGTGTTGAAGATTTACTCAAGCTGTCTTTGTCGTCGTCATCGGATATATCGCTGATGGCACCATCTGATGTGTTTCCTTTATCTTTTTGTTGTTTCATTCTGCGCCTTGCATTTGCGAACCAATTAGAGATCTGTGTCATAGTCATGCGCGTTGAGAAGGCTAACATGACCTTTTCCGTTTTGGTTGGGTATGGGTTCTTCCTGTGTTCTCTCAGCCATGTTTTCAATAGTCTGCTACTTTGTTTCGTTGCCGGTATATCGTTACCGTTCACTTGATTACTCAATTGTTGAAAGTTCCTAAAATGTAAATTAAATATGTTGAAATCTTTCTTATTCTGTCATCATAATTGCATTGCATTGCTAATAGAAGTCAAGAAAACTGGATTTTGACATTTATAAATGTTTTTAAAAATAAAATGTTTGATTCTATATGAAAAACAGTAATGTCCTGTTCCTGTATGTTATTGAAAACAATAGTTTTTAATTAAAATTTAAAAAAATGATTATCACGAGAAAGAAAAACCACGACCCCTCAAAAGATAAACGCATAGTCGTTGTACTAAGCGTGATATGGTAGTTACCAGAAATCATTCACTTGAGTTCTCAACAACTGGTCCATCTGAGCCGTTTGGGCATATGGAATTCCTTGATGACCACTGTACATAGACACATCTGTAGTTGCAATACTCTGAAATTATGAAAAAAAAACCAATAAAATATGTTAGGTCATAGTTTATACACATGAATATAGCAGAATTAGATGAATTAATAAAATAAGACGAATTTATGTCCTTCAATATTTTTTGCTAGAAAGATGCTTGAACTTCTTAATGGTGCTTAATCTATAAACTGAAAATTCAGTTTCCTATGAAAAACCAATAAGATCTTAATAATGATAGCAAAAAGATAACCAGAAATGTTGGATAAATGTCAAAAGACAGCATCCTAACAACATAATTCAATCAAAATAGATCTTCTATAAACAGTTTTAAGCACATACCGGTGAAATTTGTGGGTAAATACTTTGCATCATTCCATATACGTCATAACTGGGTGCATACCCTGGGTATGATGGGTAATGCAGCGAGGATTGTGGTACAGTCTGGTTTTCTCCGTAGTGCATGGAACCAAGGTATGAAGGTGGCGACCCCTGTGATGAGACGACTGGCAAAGATGCAGACATCCTTGAAGAAGGACTTGTTGTTTGTGCTTGGTAACACCTGCACATGACGGCATTTTGATGTGGATCAAATACTTTGGGACAATATCTGTCTAGGCAAACCTTCAAAGAACAAAGTTTTACTTATAGAACTTCTTAACTATAAACCATTTCAAATTACAAAAAATAAATATTAATCAACTGAGAAATGCTTAACACTGTGTAATGCGTAATGATATACTTAATAAAATCATCACTTTAACATATCAATTTTAAAATCAATTAGAGAATGTTTGCATCATCTCTCTAATATTTCAAATAATTCGAACCTCTTTTTTTATATATTAGGAATTGTGTGCGTATGTTAAAGTTTAAAGTTTATTTCAAAGATGTCACAGTTCGATGTAATATTATTTTTGTAATAAAAAAAAAAGTTATTTAGTTCAATTTTAATATAACTAAATCCTCAAGAAACATAAATAAAAAAAAATGAATTAAACTTACCATCGGAGAATCAAAACTTTCTTGGTAAGACATATTTATATATTAATACTAGATGTTAGCAGTTTCGTTGACAAGTTGAAATGATGCTTGAAATCAAAACGGAAAATTATTTATACCAAATACTAAAGTTGCAATTGCAATAAAACGAAAAATGGCAACAATTATGTAAAACTGATAAAATCTGAAAAGAACATAAATCACTTATTATTTACATGGCGTTAATTGCAATCATCATTTCACAACTGCATTTCGATATGTAGAAACTAAATTTAAGCTTTAGGCATGAAAAACAACCATGTTCGATTTATAATTTTCAAAAAATTAAACAATGATATTTTTTAAAAACAATATCATGTTACAGCCCTTAGGAATAAAGGGAAGTGAGACCCTTGTAAATGTCAAAAATTTTATGGTTTAAATCTCACTTAAAATTTGATAAAACTAGATAAAAATCTTGTGCGATTTAATTTTTATTCAAATTTTGTCACATAGTTTTTCATATAGATGTCAGCATTAATCTATTTCAATTTAATTGCGTGTCATGAAAAATATAAAATATTGAAGATAAAATCTTAAGAATTTAAAGATGCATTTTTTTAAAAATATTTTCTTTTTCAGAAGAAAAATGATATCATGTAAAGCTTTTAATTTGATCAGTAATTTTTGTTTTACATGATGTATCCCATACAAATTATATGGTAATTATTTAGTCAAATTATGAAATTGAATAAATTGGTTCACACAGAATGAAAAAAAAATATATTACAGATTAAAAAATATAGTTTAAAGAACACTTTATCAAAATTGAACAAATACTTAAATGCACATGTTAAGTAGATTTTAAGTTAATGTTTTTAAAAATGTTAGGATCGTCCGCGTTATACATGTACCATATATGCTTTCTTCAGATGTTGTTTCTTCGTTAAAACTCAAAATCTCTTCATATTTTTTTTTAGTCTGAGATATTAATAAATGCAGCTTTGTTAAATTATAAAATTGAATATTAAATTGGTTCACACAGAATGAAAAAAATGAAATATAACTGATTAAAATATACAATAACTACTTTATCAAATATGAGAAAACACTCAAATGCACATGTGTATTAGATTTTACGTGCACTCAATGTACGTGTTGATGTTTTTTTTTAAGTTTGCATCATCCCCGTTATAACATTTATGTTAGCTTCATGTGTTGTTTCTTCGTTAAAACTCAAAATATCTTCGTATTCTTATTTCTGAGTACTAAATGCAGCTATGTTTGATTCTGCACTTTTTGCTAAAACGCCTATATTTATAGTAATTTAGAGAATTACACACGTTGTGATGGTTCGACTATATGCATATCTTACTCAGAAGACTTTGAGCAACACCCAAAATTTTACGGAAGCAAATTAGGTACTTATCGAAAATAAATTTCTCATTGCACTTTTTTCCATGTCAAAATTGTGACATTTATAATCTTAAAAGTTCGACTTAAATGCGCACGAACACACGATCCAGTTTCTTCTATGCAGACATTGTTTAGTCCCGATTATGCTATTGGAAACTCTAAAAAATTAATCAGATCCCCCAAAAAACAAAACAAATCAAGAATGTAAACAGTGCCGTTTGGTACTGGATTTTTTCTTACGGTTTCAAGAAATATGATTCGTGGGTTCAGAAGAAGTTAAAGAAACAAAATGCGCATGGACACACGGACAGACACAAAGATAACTAGCGGATGATGGGACGGGTCGGTTACTAATCTCAACTAACCTGTTTCCTTAAAAAATATTAATTGAAATGTTTGCTAAATCAGAGAATTGCAGCTATTCATAAACTGCCATTAATTATATTGCTGGTGTCTTTTTTCAATCAATTTTGGCGGATATAACTTGATAGATTATTAGACTTAAGTCATGTCGTTACTGATGTTAATTAGAGCTCTGAGATTTCTATGTCTCGTTTTACATTGTATTGAGGAAACGCAGAACACTCACGAGCCCTTTCCTAACACGGATCCATTACCATAATGGCGCGAATTGTAATTGTACGGGATGATTGCGCCACCCAAAGGAGCACACCTCTAACCTCAACATGTCATATCGTTACTTTTACTCAAATCATTGTTCTGTTTGTTACATCAACTAAAACGCAGAAAAATGTGGTTAATACCAAATTTAGAAAAGTCGTGCTGTTATGAATTGCTGTAAATGGCGAGTTGATCAAATTAAAAACAGCGGTACATCGAATTTATTTTACATTTGTGTTATTGAGTTGAAATGATGGATGAATTGAGAATACAGGATTAACTACAATTTCCCAGTACGACATCTTTATTACTTTTAAATCAAAACATGCACAAATAGAACATGCAGAAATATATATCGCATATTTATTAAAGAAACCATACACGTATTTATCACACTGAAGTTACATTAAACGCCATGTGCGGTAAAATACATCACGAAATTGTAAAGTTTTTAAATAATTAATATGGAATTAAAGAAATACTCTTCAATTAAAAATACAATTCAATCAAATATAATTAAGAAAGTTTAAACGAGATTTTAATTCAGCACATTTTATCTTGAACATCTGCACATAGATTTACCAGGCTAAGGAAGTATTGTTGTCTGCCGTTTTCGTAAACAGCAAACATATTAATTTAAAATAAAAATAAGAAGATGTGATATGATTGCCAATGAGACAGCTCCCTACCAGAGACCAAATGACGCAGAAGTTAACATCATTAGGTCCAACAATGAACAGAACACATGTACTAGAGTAAGCTATAAAAGGCCCCGAAATGACAAATGTAAATCAATTCAAAAGAAAAAAAATTGCCTGATTTATGTAGGGGGTGGGTAAACTTAGATGCTTCATAAGGTTTAGCAGTACCTGCTTCAATAGGGACATCCGTCGTGTAGCTCATGGCAAGTCAAAATTCTTTGAAAGAGTCCCATTCAGGGATTTCACAGTTGAAAATAAACGAACGGGATTGTGGCTACGATAAGTGTAACAGATCCGTTGTCATCTATGTCACAGTATGTAAAGCCTTCGAAGAAATGACTCCACCTGTTGCTGCTGGGGTCGCCCCGCTATTCCGACACCCCAATAGTCTGGTTAAGAGAATCTGATTGATTGGTTGCTGTTTGCTTAACGTTCAGTGACAAATATTTCATGCATGACCAGGACGAGATGTAACATCCTTATTCTGACCGGACGTGGCTGTGTATTTATACATTCCGCACAGTCAAACGGACGCCGGCTTTAGGAAGGGTTTTACAGAGGTTGGAAAAAGATCAAAAGTAAACATATTTCTATACCCTAGTCACACTTAGGGTGAAGATAATTTGAAGAACTGTTTCTCGTCGTAAAGGATTATTTCCAGACCGCAATATACTCTCCGAAACGGCCAAAACTGAAAAAAATCATTTACAATGAAAAGAAACTTCTAATATCCAAGCATAATCGTTTCCATTTATATACACTAAACTTGAATTTAAAAATCAAAAACTAAAAAAAACCAAAACAAATGGAAGTAAAAATATCGATAGTAAAGTTGTACAATTGATAATATTTGGTTTTTTTATTGAATACTTTTTTAAGGCTGTTAAAAGTCAACTAAAAATGATAGTATTTGCCGACAGAATGTACTTGCAGTGAATACTAACTATACATTTGCAACTGAGCGCTAAGCAAACTCAAATTAACGATCGTGTAATAATGGCTGGGAGTGTACTCTGAAAGCAGTAATTAGACATTCTATTGCATATTCATTAAAATTCAAACTCTTAAAAACGAAATAATACTTTATCGGTGTCCAGTTCTTTCCAGTTAAACAAATTAATAGTCGACTTAAGGTGACCATTCAGTTAATCATTTGAAAAGCATAAGCAAACATAATTTGTGAAATAAGGTCATATCTTGGTATTCTTCCGACCAACAGTATAACCCTTGACAAAGTGTCTGTTTGGCTGTGCGGGATGTTTAAATTTGCAGCCACGTCCGATTAAAATCAGGACGTAAAATCCGATGCCTCGTAAAAAGAGAGTGCCACACTCCTTTCACTTCAAGAACTGCTACAACAACTCTTTGAAGGGCCAGTATGTGACCTGTTGAAAGGCTAAATTGCTTTCCCTGCCCAATATACACTCATCGTTTGTCACGACGAGGAAAATTATATTATTTATATAAAAACTCTACTGTAGTGTTATTTTCTCCTATCTCTATTTACGAGACATATTTTGTAAACTCATATAGCCAGCAGACTCCTTACGTAAAACAATCCAAACACTGACGAAAGGAAGGGAGATAATCATTGAACCAGTTTACCCACTGTTAGAAAAAGAGCGAAATTACTCAAAGACAAGTATTCTGTCCTGCACTTTACAAAGTTTTTTGTGCTTTAAGTTACGCTGGTGATGAAGTTCTGCTACTTTAGTACTAATACACCAACCTATCTTGATAATCGTGCATCGCCTGTTCCCAAGAAGGACAGGTTCCTCAACTTAATATTGGACTAACCTTTTATTTGGCTTTCTAATATAGACGTGTTAGGAAAGGGATTTTTAAAATACTGCGCTGATGTTTTAATAACAATACCAATACAAAATTTAAGTGTGGACTTTCTCAAAATGCAATTGCATTGAAAAGTATGCTTACCTTTGTGGTGTGTTTGATACATTATAGCGAACAGTTAACGTCGACTCAAAATTTTAAGACTCAAATTAAATGGGCATTTCATAATAACATAGATACATTGTATTAAAAACTATTAATATATATATTTGCATTTGATTAATTTAGAATTGCAAACAAAACTTTAAAAACATATATATAAAATGGTAAAGAATGGAAAAGATGGATTTTACGACTACAAGCCTTAAATACATTGACTGATACGAGTAGAATATGTTTAATAGTCAAATAACTCAGTTTAGCACTCCACAAGTCAAGCACACACTTACATAATTTGATTTAATTCGTGTCTTGTATGTCTCCACAGTGTTCCGATAGCCTTAAATGGGTTTAAACGTGCGATGACGTGTTCGACAAAAACTCGACACACTGAAATTTATAT